CATACCTGTAGTGCATGTCTGTGTTTGGAGGTGCATACCTGTAGTGCATGTCTGTGTTTGGAGGTGCATACCTGTAGTGCATGTCTGTGTTTGGAGGTGCATACCTGTAGTGCGTGTCTGTGTTTGGAGGTGCATACCTGTAGTGCATGTCTGTGTTTGGAGGTGCATACCTGTAGTGCATGTCTGTGTTTGGAGGTGCATACCTGTAGTGCATGTCTGTGTTTGGAGGTGCATACCTGTAGTGCATGTCTGTGTTTGGAGGTGCATACCTGTAGTGCATGTCTGTGTTTGGAGGTGCATACCTGTAGTGCATGTCTGTGTTTGGAGGTGCATACCTGTAGTGTGTGTGTCTGTGTTTGGAGGTGCATACCTGTAGTGTGTGTCTGTGTTTAGAGGTGCATACCTGTAGTGTGTGTCTGTGTTTGGAGGTGCATACCTGTAGTGTGTGCCTGTGTGAAGGCCAACGTTGGGTGTCTTCATCACTTTCCACTTCAATTTTTGAGAAAGAGTCTCTCACGTAACCCAGAGCTAGCCCTTTTACTAGTCTGGCTGGTTAGCAAGGCTCCAGGACTCTCCTGTCTCTGCCCAATCCCCCAGCACTACACCAGCACAGCTTGGTTTTATAATTTATTTATTTATTTATTTATTTATTTACTCATTTATTTACTCATTCATTTATTTAGTCTTTTTGAGACAGAGTCTCCCTGTAGCCCCAGCTGGCCTGAACTCGCTATGTAGACCAGGCTGGCCTTGAACTCACAGAGATCCACCTGCCTCTGCCTCCCAAGTACTGGTATTAAAGGTGTGCACCATGATTCATTTATTTTATGTGTATGGGTGTTTGCCTGCATGTATGTAAATGCCCACATGCATGCAATGCTCATGGAGGTCAGAAGAGGCCATTAGATTCCCTAGAACTCGAGTTACTGATGTGTGAGCCATTGTGTGGGTGCTGGGAAGCAATGTTGGGTCCTCTCCAAGAGCAGTCAGTGCTCTTACCACTGAGCCGTCTGAGCCATTGCTCCAGCCCCCACAGCCTGGCTTTTACATGAATGCTGGGATCTGGATTCTGGGCCTCATGCTTATGCAGCAAGTGTTCTATACACTGAGCCATCTCCCCTGTACCTGCATCTGGCTTTAAAAATAAATAAATAAATAA